CACAATCCAATCTCTTATAACTTAATCAATCTGTCCAAGTGACATTCATAATCCATATCTTCTAGTTTAGAATACAATGAAAATTGAAAAATAACTAATTTCCCTTACCTCAAATACAATGCCTCCAAGTCAAAGAACCAAAAAACTTCTAAATTTCTAAGAACATAGATTCTGCTCACAGAAAATTTTAATTAACAAATTCAGTATACCATAATGCTCCTAAACTAATTCAGATTCATTTTTTCACAATAAAATGTACATACAAGCCCCCTGGAACCCACATGCAAACATAAACTCAAATATGAAAAAATGGTCTAAAATTAGACAAAGAGAAACTTACTCTATTTGAAATTATGATCGGGTCAAAATAATTGTCTCTCCTCTAGGAGCACTAAAGTGTGCTTAGATCTAGAAAAAGATGAAAGAGGGAGTGAGAAATTTAGAGAGAAGACAGAGGAAAAGAAGTTGTAGAGAGATGATGATTTTGTGAAAATGAAGTTTGAATGGTTAAACTTTTCTATTTATAATTCTTTTTAGCTTAATCGGTAAAATTTCAAGTTTATTCTCATTATACTACTTATACTCTTAACTTATTGAAATTTGGTTCTCACAATATCTACATGATTATTTATGAAAAATAGTTAATAAAATGATATCAATGTGAGGGAATTAGATAGTTAGTGAGAAAGATTAGAAGTTATTAATATATATTTTTATTAAATAATTACTTTTTATTTAATAAAATAAATTAATTAAACTAAAAATAACACTTTTTTTTATTTTTCATAGTCTTTTATTTTATTTTAAATAGATTATTACATATTATTATTATTATAATATATATTATAGTCTTCCTATATAAATTAAATTATATTTTAATAATAATACAAAATACTTATTTGAAATGAAAAATAATAGTAAAAAATTGAAGTTATTTTTAAAATATTCACTTTAATAAGTCGGTTCGAGACAATTGTCGCTTTGAAATCTACTGAGGCGAGCTCTACAAAATACTTGAAAGAGAGAGAAATCTACTAAACACTTTGATGATTAAGCTAATATAAGAAAAATATAATATAGATAATAGAGAGTTCTCTATAAATGAGAATGATATGACTTGTAAAAAGTAGAGTGAACCTATTTATATATCTTTTATCAAGTATGCTAATTATGTATTATTGCCATAACATGTATTTAAATAGATTAACTAAAAAACATTTTAATTAAAAGTAGTAAATAATAATGTGAAAATCTAGCATAAGTCCTCAGAGCTCACGGTCTAACTTGAGTGAATACAAATGAGTTGACTAAGTAAGTTTTATCTATGAATCTTTATAAGACTATCTGAACTATGAATATATCCGTGTTATTCTTTAGTTTGTATGGATCAATTAATTTTCTCTGTATTTGTAGGTGTGACCAAGTTGATTCAATGACTACAAATTTTTCTTGACAATTTTTTCTTATCGAGTTTATTTTATTTGAACTAGCAATTTATAAAGTAACATTAAGACTAAGGTGAGTTTGATTTAGAACAATGACTGAAGTGGATTTAACATAGAATTATGGCTAAAATGTGCTTAATGTAAAGTTATGATCGAGATGTGCTTAATATAGAGTTATAATTGAGATGTGCTTGATATAGAACTATAATCAAGTGAGAAAGACGATTAGATTCATCTTATAGATGAAATGTTTTTTTAATAATAATATGAAACTCGGTGACATATTTAATTTGGTGATATTTAGTGTTATGACATATTATTTTGATGACTTGCTTGAATAATTGGTTGCGTAATAACATGCTTGAATAATTGTTATGATGTAATGACACGCTCAAATAATTGTTATGGTATAATAACATGATCAGATAATACCTAGCTAGATGTATAACTCAATCATTTGAGATATAGTTGAATGAATTCTTTAAAATGAACTATAAAGACTCATAAATTTGATGAGATACGAAGCCTCCATCTTATTTAACTTTTGCTATAAAGACATATGTTATATTTTGAGTTGTGTTAGTTATCACTTTTTTGCATTAACGCGAAGCTAAATGTAGCATGAAGTTAAGTGTAATATGGAGCTAAGTGTAGCACAAAACTAAATAGATAAGTGTGAAGTAAATGTTTGGACCAGCTACACCTTTTCATGTTTGGACAAAACTAAATGGACAAAAGTGAAGTAAGTGGTTTAGTGTAAGGATAACAAAACAGGTTAGTCCTGCAAAAAAATTGGACGAGGATGGGCTAGCACTGCCATAATCAAGACCATTTATATGCCTCTTCTCATAAAAAAGAGAGCAAGTGGGTTAACAAGCCAACCTACCAATATTTTTATTATATTTACTTTTTTAAAAATACACATTTAATTATATGAATATTTTTTAAGTTTTTATTTATTAATTAATATTATGAGTAGATAAATTAAGAAAATTATTATATTTGTGTGTTAAAATACTTATTTATAATAAATAATTTGAGCTTAATTTGTTAATATTATGATTTAAATTATAATATTATAATATATTTGTATATTCTAACTACATAACATAGAAAATGTAATACTTTTAATTTTAATTTACAAATATTTTTTAAAAGCGGCTCTTGACCCATGAGGTTAGTAGGTTACACGAGACAAGTCAAAATGAGTTGATGACCAAAGATGGATCTTCTTTATTTATGAGGGGTGGTCATAACTCCCCCAAAGTTTTGTAACCTTCTTGTATATTTACTATTTTAGTTTTTAATTTAAGAATCATCAAATATATTTACTTGTATAATGATAATTTTGACCTCCAATTTAATGATCATTAAATATATTTACAATTTTTATCCTTCATTTAACATTTTGTAATAAATATTAAACAAATCATTAATATATACCAAATAAGAAAATGTTTTATATTTTTACAACTCTTCATATTTTTTCAATATCTATTAATAAAATGTTATTTCCCCCCTCCCCAAGATTATTAGTTAAGATCCCTAGCTGGTTAAAACTACCATCCCATCTTGTCAATTTAAGACAAGTTGGCAGGTTGGACCACCAAATTTGACCCGTTTTATCATCCTTATTTTGGTGAGTTATTACAATTGCACCTCTTCACATTAACTTTGTGTTGTGGGGACTATTATGAAATATATATTTTGGTGAATTATATTAATCACATCCTTTTAGATCACCTTTTATGCTAAGCAAATATTTATTATGAAGTATAAATTTATCTTATTGGTGTAATTACTTGTACGATGTTCTAAGTTTGAAAGATCATATTTTCATATTTCTCTTTAATGTGAGATCTTTGCTTATTGATGATATCTTTATTCATATTATTGCTTATTAAGGTAATCATTAATCATTTTGATATATGAGTTAGGATATGTTTGACTAATCCTTAAAATAAACACTACATTTTCTTGCCAAAAAATTACAATAATGATAACTTCAACAATATTGATTAATGAGTTTAAACTTATTAGACAAAATTTGTCTGAATACTTAAAAAAATGGATTTCTTCTTACAAAACACTCTTATCTTAAGTTATTTTAATATTAATAAATATTTTTTAAAATATATCTTATTATATATAATCGAATAATTAGATAAGTTAATTATATTATTATAATATATTAAAATGAATTAATTAAAAAATATTTCTATTAGACATAATAGATATATTGAATAAGTATACTTTTTAATAAAAAATTATCTTCCACAAAATTTGACTTCGATACTTTAATTGAGCTCTCTAATTCCAGATTTGCTAAAACTAACCTAATGTCGTTGAAACAGATGATTAACCAAATTTTCATCTTTACCGTAACAATTAATATGACAATGTATTATGTTAATATATTGGGAGAGGCTAAATCTAAAAAAAAAACAGAATTGAAGAGTAAACAAAAAAATTATTAACCAAATACAAAATCTTTTAATTTTGTAGTGATAAAAATATATTTAAGCTTAATAATAATATTTTGTAGATGCTTATATTTACTAGAAGTAATCTCCGCATCCGCATATATCCCGTGTCCGTGTGCGACAGGGAATCTCTGCCCTTTCTTTCTACCAAACCAACCGCGTACTCTACTCAACGCGAATCCCTCACAACGACGCAATCAACGATAAATATATAATTAATTAATTATTTAACTAATTAATCGATCAATTAATCGCAACAAAACAAAACAATAAACCTCTCTTCTTATTCCTTCTCCTCGCATGGTTTCATAAAGAAAAAACTTTTGCGTTTGTTTTTGTTTGTGCCTTTTTTTCTTCTCCTTTTGGGACTCCTTGAGGAGAAGGGAAGAAGAAGGAGGAGGAGGAGGACCCACCAATCACACAAATACAAACACATTCACACCAATTTCAAACAAACCCTTCTCCATTTTCCTTGATCCTTCCCCATCATAAGGGTTTATCGTTTTATTACTTAATTCAATTATTTTTCTTTCTCAATTTTTTCTTCAGCCCCCGAAACGCTTCCACGTTTGTTTCTTCCAATTTGACTTTCAAATCGCGTGCGTGCGAGCGCTTCCACTATCTTTTCCTCTCATTCCTTCGATCAATCCCTCCGCATGTCATTCATCTTCACTCCTCGCTTTCCCAGTCGTTTTTGAATCGTTCCACTTTCTCGTACTCTCTTCTTTACCTTACCACGTACCCAGAAAAAAAGCAAAATTGTTTTTTCTTTTTTCTTTTACAGAAAAAAAGTAAAATTGTTGTAATTACATACCTTGAGTTATTAGATCATCACACGCTTGTTTCCTTCAACTGAGTCTCGATTCTTCCGCCATTTGTTAAAAGGTGAGTGCACACACTCGAAATTTGAGGTTTTGCTGCATCCAGTTACTATGATTAATATTGATATGCTTAGTTTATTTTTTATTTTTTATTTTTTTTTTTAATTTGGTCTTGTTTTACAATATCTGCAGGAGATTTATTTATATTTATTCTTGGTATGAAGTTGTAGTGATTCATTTTGAGTGAGTAAATGGGTTGGCTTAGCAGAATTTTTAAAGGGTCTGAGCAGAAGATTTCGGAAGGTCATTATTATAAAGAAGACGCCGGTTATTATTTGCCATCTACTTCGGGGGTAACAACAAATGTGAACACTCTAATTAACGAATGCTTTTGGAAGTTACTGTTTTGTCCTCTCCGTTTCACTTGTTTTGATTAGAGTTTGTTCTGGCTGTAGGATGTTTGGAACCAGAACGAGAATGAGGATATAGATCGTGCTATTGCACTGTCTCTGGTGGAAGAGAGCCATAATACAAACAACGTAAATGGTGAGTGATTTCAGCTCTTGAGACATATGGATTATACTTGATTTGATACTGAAAAACCAAGTGTGAGCCAGTGCATTTGTTTGATGTTCACTGTCTAAGGAACAACTTGCTATGGAATAATGCAATTTTGCGAAATTCCGAATTTGCAATGCCTGTGTCGCTGTTATTCTAGTTATTCATAATGTGTTTTTCCGTTGCCCCCTTTTGTCTTCATCTGTAATGAAATCATTTGATAAATGAAAGAACTAATTGCTTTCTGTTGAACGTCTTGCTTAAATGTGAATGTCAATGTGGATGCCGTGCTTTTTTTTTAACACAATGTGTGCAGTTTGTTGTTTTATACTGTTGGCTTAGTTACTTGGTAGCTTGATTTTCAATAATGTGCTCATTTCATTCTTTACCAATTACTACTGTGTTGAAGGTTGACTGATTTTTCCTAAAGTGTATTTACTCAGTATCAAATATATTACTATTTTACTTTAACCAGTTCTGTTTGTTTTGTAGACAACAGATCACAGTTAGAAGAAGATGAACAACTTGCCAGAGCTATAGAAGAAAGTCTTAACTTGGAGTCTCCTCCCAGATATGGAAATGAAAATGTGTATCAACCAATTCAGTATTTCCCCATGGGGTCTAGGTACGAGTTAGATGTGGGATGATAACAATGTACGAAGTTGGTTGCATAATTCAACACTTCTTTTGTTTGATTACTTCAATGGATATGTTAAAAAGAATCGTCTAGACTTGTTTATTCACCATGTGCCATAGGGTCACAATTCCTGGTTTTATAAATTCTTACTCTGGCATATACTGCCACTGATTGATTGGAATTCTCTATTTTGATGTATGTTATATCCCTTAGTTGGTGATCAACAGATTTTTCTGGTAATTCCCATTAATTGTGCTGGTCCTTTTGAAATACTTATTAACTGGAATTGCTATGACACATTAGCCAATTCATTACCAAAATTTTTGGTAAGAAGGGATTGATGTAACTGGGTTTGGTGGTAGTCTTCATACCTTGATCTTCATCCATTTTCTTCTCCTTAAATAAATACCTTGTACCAAACATATCGCAAAGATACATTAGTTGGCTGAAGACTGCTGCATTTGAACTAATTTACAGCCAAATATTAATATTATAATATATACGTCCAGACTCCAGATTATTATGCAATGAATTAGTGAGTTCCAAATATCCACAAATACCTATGAATTAAGTTCCACATGCAAAGAATTGATATGATTATTTGTTAGGTGAAAGATGTTAGGATCATATTCTTTTGAACGCGCTCACTAATTGATTAAATTTTTTTTTTGAAATCACATAATTTGGTGTGATTCATAACTTATTTATTGACTCTCTTGATTTTGTAGTTTTCAATAAATTTTAACCAATAACAAAGTGTGTTGCTTGAACTCCTCTTTGTCAAGTTATATGCATAGACCATCATGCTCAATGCTCATAAAAGGAGAGAACATCTATCCAGTATTATCTTGTTTGTTTTTAGTTGTTAGAAATTATTCTCTTCTTTCAATTTGCTATACCTTTATGATATCAATAATGTGATGCACATAACTAAAGTTTTCCAGTTATTTACATAATAAATAGGATTTGTGCTGGCTGCTATACTGAGATTGGTTATGGACGATATCTTAATTGCTTGAATGCATTCTGGCATCCTGAATGCTTCCGCTGCCGTGCTTGCAACCTACCAATCTCTGATTACGAGGTGCTACAATTTCCATCTACCTGCCTCATTACCTGTTTTTCTGTTTGCATAAATGTTTTTTTTTTCTGTACTAACAGTTTTGTTTTTGCTTCTTCATACTATTATTATTGCAGTTCTCCACATCTGGGAATTACCCTTACCATAAATCCTGCTATAAGGAAAGCTACCATCCGAAATGTGATGTCTGCAAGCACTTTGTAAGTATTTGAACAAGTTTTAGTGAAAATTGCCCACGGTACCCCTTAGATTTAGTTATATGACATGCACTCCACTGCTATTTTTTTGGCCTATGACTTCTTAGCTGTTACCCTTATCCAATTCTAATTTGTTGTTACTAACAATTATACCCTGTCTCCCTCCTTGCGCCATCTCTCTGACCTTTAGAAATAGAATCTGGAAGGATGAGATTGAGAGCCTTCAATGAATGGTGAGAGTTTCTTTATGGAAATGTGTTAGCTTTCACTTTCCTGAGATGTGACAATGTCATTCCTTTGTTAGTATGGTAGTCAATTGCCTTCATAAGATGTGTCCACCTTGTTCTTCATTTTACCCTTTCACAGTGAACACAACTCCCTTACACAGCATCACTTGCTCACATCTCCTTTTGTCTCAGCATCACCAACCTGCATACACATGTTCATGTATTTCTTCACAGCCACAACCAAGATACTAAAGTTCTGGTAGTAATTTTATTATAGGAATAACAACAGCAATACATGGTTTGTGAATCAGCATCTAACGACTAAGCAGCACCAACTTATTTTCAACTTTGTGTCAGCCATTATCTCCATCAGCTTGTTGACCACTCCATCACAAAAACCACAGCCACTTCCAACTTCTTTTACTGTGAATGGCACCCTGTACTGTAACCATCCATCTGTATACCTACCAAATGGTTCTTACTCACCATGCAGAAACCACCTTTGGTCTCAACTCAACAAAACCTCTCCTTTCAGTGAGCACCACCACCTCAAGGACTCGTCCTAACACCTAATCTCATTGCCATTCCATGCCCTGAACCAAAATAGGTGCGTAGCATTCTCACTTCTGCCTTGCTCATAAACCACCAAAACTAAACCATAGCTATTACAAACACAACTTTTCACCATATTCAACCATTGTGGCAAAGATATTCTTCCTGGAACTTCTTACTGGAATTGACCATTGTTGATTCCATCACCTAAGACATTGATGATTTTAATTGTTTATGATTTTGTTGTTAGAATACATGCTTGTAAGTTTTCACCTTGTCTTTGGCCTTATATCTCATTGCCTGTTGCTGTTGGTTTTTGGTAATATATATCTTTTCACAGATTCCAACAAATCCTGCTGGTCTTATTGAATATAGGGCACATCCATTCTGGGTCCAGAAATATTGCCCTTCTCATGAACATGATGGTACTCCACGATGTTGCAGTTGTGAGCGAATGGAGGTTAGTATAGATGGAGTATATTTATCTGATAATCATGGTTTCTAGGCTTGCCTAGGGAGATGTGGATGAACTTGTATGGTGCAAAGCGAAAAGAATGTGATGAAAATTTTCTCTCTTTACTTGCAGTCTCAAGAGGCAGGATATATTGCTCTTAAGGATGGCCGCAAGCTCTGCTTAGAGTGTCTGGATTCTGCTATCATGGATACTAATGAATGCCAACCCCTTTATGCTGATATACAAAGATTTTATGAAAGCATAAATATGAAACTTGACCAGAAAATTCCACTACTATTGGTCGAAAGACAAGCACTGAATGAAGCAAGAGAGGGAGATAAGAATGTAAGGGAAAATGCATTTTCATCTGTTTGCAGTAAATATAATAACATAATTTGATCATATGACATTCAGCTATCTGTCATACTAGTAAAATCTATACGACTAAGGTTTTTCTCTTCTGTTATATGTTAACCGCATACCCTGTCAAATAATTCAGCCTGACATGCATGATGTAGAAAATTAAATTGCAGAAAGAAAAATAGAAAAGTATATTCATATTTGGAAGTCTACTTACTCTGTCAAATAATTCAATCTGACATGCATGATATTGAATATCGAATGGCAAAAAGGAAATAAAAAAATAAGTATATTCATATTTAGAAGACTAATTTTTGCAATAAATAATACTGTCCACGTCAACATGCTTTCAAATATGAAGCTTCAATTCATAATTAGTTCATGATTTAACAGTGCTTTTCAATTTCATATTTGAGTCTTTATCTTGGGCAGGGACACTATCACATGCCGGAAACTAGAGGGCTGTGCCTCTCAGAGGAGCTCAGCACAGTAAGATTTCCTGTTATGTTCTGTTTTCTGACACTCATAGATTTTTATGGTTAGATGATAGAATTTCTTTAGAACCAATAATTAACAATTTTCGGTACATTACATCTAAATTTGATCAGTTCTCGAGACGACCTAGACTTGGGACAGGAAATGGAGCAATGGACATGAGAGCACATCCATACAGAATGACTCCACACTGCGATGTGACTGCAATTCTCATTTTATATGGTCTTCCAAGGTAATAATTTATTGCTTTTGCTTTTAGAACTTGTAACTTGGGAGACAAACTCAATGCTTATGAGCAGATAAATAATTTGAAGATAACAAATATATAACACAAGAAAATTTCCCAAGGATTAAAACAACTGTCAGCAAAAGATCCATGAAACCAGAAAATGTAATATTTATTTAGTAGCAGAGACCTAATTGCACTTTTGATCCCTTTGTTATTTGTAAATTTAGTCCCCCTATTTTGTTTTATGAATTTGATTCTCTTAGGATTTTGATTGTGCAATTTTGGCAGTGCAGTAATAGTGACATTGGCACAGTAATAGAATGCTACATCAACATTTCTGTTAAATATTGAACAGTTATATTAGTGGAGGATCAAATTCAGGATAAGAAATTAGGGGGACCAAATTTTGGGAAGTGAGGATAGTAGATAGACGAGAAGTTCAATTAAGCCTTGTATCTTAGGCAAAAGCAGTGTATTTTAACATGACTATATAAAAATGAAAGAATCTAAAAGCTGAAAATTCTAACATTCTTCCCTTTTGGCATCCGTAGGTTTAGCTTCTGTGAATTCTCTCTCCTACTTCATGAATAAACTGTGTTCTTTCGGAATTTGCAAAGGGAGTTGATTAAAAAAGTAATATCTGCAGCCAAGCGAGGGTTGCCTTGTTTTTATTAAATTATCTAAATTGCAAAATTCTTTTTGCATTTTTGCTCAAGTGTCCTGACTTTCAGAATAGATATTCTGGGAGAGAATCCCAGCCCCCTTCCCCTTCCTTTGGCTACAACTTTGCGATCATCTGTTGATATCATTTACATATGAATGTTATTTTTTACAGATTGCTTACTGGATCGATCCTAGCCCATGAGATGATGCATGCATGGCTTCGACTTAAAGGTACTATTTTATTGTAGAGAATTTATTTAATTAGGATTCTTCTAGTAATTTGTTGCACTTGTGGTTTACTTTGTTTTGGTTATGACATACAAACTGTTTATTCATTTTAACAGGTAAGATTTATCACCTAGCATTGAACCAATGTTATTTCATTGTGGTTTCTCTGAAATTTATGCCAACTTATGTGTACATGAAGGTTATCGAACTCTAAGTCAAGATGTTGAAGAAGGTATCTGTCAGGTTTTGGCTCATATGTGGTTGGAGTCTGAACTTTCTTCTGCATCAGGCAGTAACTTTGTCTCAGCCTCGTCCTCATCAGCATCGCACACATCTAAAAAAGGTAAAAGACCCCAGTTTGAGAGGAAGCTTGGGGAGTTCTTCAAGCACCAGATTGAATCGGACATTTCCCCTGTTTATGGAGATGGATTTAGGGCTGGTCAAAAAGCAGTGCGTAAATATGGTCTACAAAGGACCCTTCACCACATCAAGATGACAGGGACTTTTCCGTATTAAGTACAGAGATACTCCATTTAACAGATTGTTTCTCATTCTTTCTTGATATAAAGCCTGGCCTGTTATTAGAAACCGAGGCCTAGGTGCTTAGGCATTAGCTTCGACGAATTGGTGATTTTTTGTACTTGTAATTATTGATACCGTTGCGGTATATTGATTACATTCACATTTTTTTTTATCACTGCTACTTTTTTGGTATTACCAACTCGTAACCTCTGGTATCTCCCAAAATTAAGAAAAAATAACACTTTCCTCAGAATATGTGGCGAGGTAAGTCTATGTTATTTTTTGCATGTTCAGCTAACTTGTTGCTGTGGAATCATTGTCTTATTCAGTTAATAATAAATCAGGTGACCACCGTGGAAAGGAATCTATTGGTGAAAACAGATGCAAGAGGGGCAAGTAACATCCGTATTAAAGAACCAAAACTAAAATTCTACATGAAATACGTATAATATACACAAATTAATTGCAAAAGGTAGTCGAAATCTACATTCCATAAGCTAGCCAAAATCGTATTTTTTTCACCTCTCCATTTTAAGACTCTTGCTGATGTTTAGTTGTATTATTTGGTCCATATAACTTGTATAGATTTTCAATAAGCTAGAGACTACCTCTACCATGGTTGGTCTTTCTTCTGGTTCTTGAATCAAGCAGGCTAGACCTAATTTGACTAGCTGGAGAGCACACACTTTCTCATTGTTTAAAGTGAAGCTAGGATCAATGAACAAACTCACCTCACCTTCATTCTCTTTACCAATGAGGTTTACTATGACTGCATGAAGCATTGCTTCTCTCCCGTCTTGTAGAGTAACAGAATCCGTACCTGTGATTAATTCCAACAGCACCACTCCGAAGGCATAAACGTCCATTTTGGTAGTGACCATCCCTGCCTCCTGATACTCTGGAGCCATGTAACTCCTCGCCACACGTGACAAGGCATAACTGGAAGTTATTTTCCTTTCTGATTCTTCAGCAAGAGCAAAATTTGCTATCTTGGCTCTTAGATCTTTGTTTAGAAGAATGTTTTCACTGTTTATGTTCCTGTGCACATAGCACGGTTCTGTGAAGTTGTGTAGATACTGAAGACCATTGGCAATATCCAGAGCAATCAGAATCCTCTTTGCCAAAATCTGGTGCTCGGTAGACCTGTTTCCCCTTAGCCATTCTCTCAAAGAGCCATTTTCCATGTACTCATAAACAAGATAAGGACAAGAATCGTTTTCACAGTAACCTTGCAGCTTTATCAGGTTGAAATGATTGATCCTTTCCAGCAGATTCACTTCCTTGGATGCATCTCCTCTCATTTTTTTCACAGCCAATATGTTGTTGTCATTACCAAATACCCCACGAAACACACAACCTTTAATTCTATTCTTTGAACTAAAATTTTCAGTGGCCTCCATTATTTCCTCAAACTTGTACACTTTGGAATGATGCCCAATGATTGCTATCTCACCACGGATATCTTCTGAGGACATTTTCTTTGCTTTCTCACCTTCTTCATCTCTCTTAACGAACCTTGCAGAGCTCTTTCTAAACAGAAAAACCCCATACAAAACAGCGCACAGAGCCACAATGGAACCCCCTGTGGCGGCAATAGCAGCATGGAATTTCCTCTTTGACTCGCACTTTATGGAGCTGCAAACAGGAAGATGTGACATATTTGGTGGATCACTAACAACTGTGGTCATTGAAGTCAGAGGTTCACTTGATAATGGAATCAGAACAGTTGTGAATGGATAAAGAGTTTGTGTTTGTGTGTTAAAACCATTGGCATCGACCACATTACCTGCTGCTACATTGAACCTTGTAGCAATATTTGTAATGTTATCACCCCAGTTCACTGAGTATGTCAGTAAATACTTGGTGCCGTTTGTGACCTGATGCAATGTTGGACAAGCACATCTGAGTGGCACGTGCAACTCCATGCCAGGAAGCAAATCAAGTTCCCCATATGGATTAGTACGCTTAAGGGAATCACAGGTGGTCAAACCCTGAAAAGTATCATTTGCCACTGTGAAATATGTTGGGGATGGTCCCAATACATATTTGGTTTCAGTTTGGTAGTAGTCCCTAGTTAAACAAGAACATTTCAAAGGTACAATCACTTCTTTCCCCGTTGGGAACACTGTGAGCACAGTGACATCATTGATTCTTGCAAGCTCTTCTGGGTTTGATGATGTGAGGTTGGAAATTGTGAGTATGGAGTTTAAAGGAGGTTTGGATTTGAAGATTAGGAAGGCCATGCAGGATTTGTTGAGGCCATTGCAGGTATAAAGGAACGAGGTTGAGGGCCCCATTTTCTCATCATTCTTGCAGCTGAATATTGAAATCCCAGAGTAGTTTTGCTGTGCTTTGCCATCAAAAGAAAGAAGAAAAAAGGATATAGTGAAGAAGAGAAATGCTACGTGATTCATGGTGAGATTGCCTTATTGACAAAACAAGACTATGAAAAACAAACGCAGAACATTTGAGTGTGATAATTTAAGATGTTTGAGTCTTATGCTACAACTATTATTCTAGAATAACGCGTGATAATTTTGCTGACTAATTCAGTATATTACAGAAAACAACAGGCAATTGCAATTGCTGTTTGGGACCACAGTTTTTGCCTACCATGGTTGCTGTTAGAGATGAATTACATAAGTGTCATTATATTTAAAAATTGACTCAGTTTTGGGGTTGCTTCATACTATATTATGCTATGATGTAAACTCAGACAAAAATACAAAGATGAAGAAGAATCTGGATTTCTTTTAATCATTCAGAGAATGAAAGAATATATAAAAATATATGGCAACTTGAATAAGGTTGTCAAAGATTTGTCCTTATATTTTCGTTCTCAAACCGATGCTGGCACGGTTTATCTTACTAATTAGATCGTGCTTTGTACATTTTCTACACCTTGTGGTTAATTATAATATCAATAATTGGTTCACTGCCTCAATTTGGACACCACAATATTTAGCAAAATTCGTAAAATAATTAAGAATATATATGCATGAATGCTTACTATCTAGATAATAATAATATGATGTAATGAAAAAATGAGTGTTCATGTATAAGGTCTTCAGCATTTTTTTAGAGAATCAATTATATAAAGATAAAATTTTGAGCTTTTCTAATATTCATAGCTTGGTCTTTAGAGTCCTGAGTTTTAGAATGCATAGACAAAAACTAACTAGAGGATTAAAACTAAAGATTACCCATTTTTAGGAATTAAATTCACCATCAACCTTAATTTTTGAGAAAATTCAATTAAATGTTAGAAATGTAGTACGGATTTAATAAATACATGAGAAAAAGTAAGACTATAAAAATTTATATGTTTTTCATGATATTATGTTTTCATTATTTTACAAGCAAACAACACTCTATACAATATAATTTTATATTATCAATACATGAAAGGTAAAATATTAATATTAAACAAAATAATTAAATAAGGCATATAAAGTATATGTGTAATAATCCATGGAATAATGAGTTAAAGTCAAGTACTTAATTTTTTATCATCTTAATTCTTATAAAGAAAATGTTATTAGTTATTTTAGTGATAATTTTTTTCTATCTCATACATTTGTTTATAATACTGGAATTTAAAAATATTGTTGAAAGAGTTTGAGTTTTATTTCACTTGGTTAAGAACCTATTTTATATTTCTAAAACAAAAATAGTAACTTCACTGTAATTTTATTGATCATAATTGTATTTTTTATTTATTTACCATTCGATAGATTTTTATTAATTAAATAGGTGTGAATAAATACTTAATTTTTTTGTAAGAGTACAATAATTAACATTTGAAAAAAAAATACACATATGATGAAGTGTGTTCATTGATTCAATTCAACACCACTAACTTCTGGTATTGTTATTATTATTATTTATTTTTTCTACAACCTTTAAAATTTGATTTGAAACATCTTAAAATTTGGTTTCTGAATGTTGAGAAATTAAAAGTTATAGAAACGTTAAGATTTTTAAATATTTTTTAAAATTTAATTGTAATATATTATCCAATTGAATTGAACTAATTGACTCTAAATTATATCAATTTGATTAGGTTTGGTGAAAATTTCCAAACCAAACAATTTTAAATGAATGACCTTGTTAAGACTTCTAAACCTGATTATGATTATTTCATCATATCAAAATCCAGATTAACTAATATTCTCTAAGATGCTAATATAGAATAATAAGATTCTCTAAAGTCAAATCTTAATATTGCAATTATTACTTACTTTTATACGCAATCTTAAAAGTTGAAAACACCATTTCAACACACTTCATTCACACAATGCATGGTTCTAATACATTAACAAAAGCAAAGCAATATTTATTCTCTTAGGAAAAAAAATTGGGCATATATGATGTCTGAAAAGAATCCAAGTGATAAAGATAAATTGAATGTTGATTATGAGAATGAAATTAAGGATAATGACATTGAGATTAATGCCCCAGCCGGCCAGAGAAATTGGATGCATATGCCATCAAAATTAAAATAAATCCAAAAACTTATTTGATATTGCTCAAATCAATATTCAACTTCTTCACTTTTAAAAATTTATATATAATAAAGATATGTTCAACTTCTTTATAAATATTTATAAGAACATAAAAGAAAAAGGTAAAACATTTTGCATCTTCTCTTGAGTCTTAATGTTAGGGGTGGGTGGGGCATAAATTAGTTTTAATTCATTTGAGAATTTCAATCCTTGTTAGCATCTTCTTCATACTTTTCTCCTTCTCCAAGTAATAATTATCATCAATAGAAAAAAAATACACAAGCTACGAAACATTAAGTTTTGTCAACACTCCAAATTAATATTTTTTTCTCTCTCTCCCTAATGATTTGTCAAAATTCATTTTCAATTATTTAAAAAAAAAACTAAAAAGTCATGTGTATATAAAAAAAATATCGGTGCTGTTAAAGAGACATTTTACTTGCTCTTTACCTTTTAAGTATTTACAAACTTTTTAATTATAGGAATATTGTTTTAGTAACATTAGAAATAGCTATGATCCTCCATAAATGATTGGTGGAGCCTCTAGTCTTCCACTATATAGCCTAATTTTGATAAAGAGTGAGAAAACCTATGTAGTCGTGCATATATATATATATATATATATATATATATATATATATATATATATATATATATATATATATATATATAATATTTTAGATGATAAAAAATTATAATTTTCTAAGTTATGATTTTTTCCTTAAATTGAATGATAATTTATTTATATATTTATAAGTTTTGTTTCTCATATTTTTCGTATTCTTTTATATTTATTCAATATTTAATAATATATTATTTTATATAAAGATTCGTTAGTTAATGATATTTTATATACATTTTTTTCTCTTAATCTATTTGGTATCTTTTAAGTACAAATGTGTGAGGGACGAGAGTTTCAAAGTGAATAATACCTTATACATAATAATTGACCATAATGATATATATTATCATAATAAACATGAAATGAGGTGGTCGTCAGCTCCCCCTATCATCAAGTCACCAACTTACTTGACCTTCCAGCATTGGACAAGCGTCAACCTCCATACATGGTGACTTTGCGAAGATTTGTGTTTTTGATAAACAGATCGTCCGAGTTCAGTCAATGTAAAACCGTAACAGATGAAAATTTTAAAGTGAATAATATCTTAAACATGTAAATTAACCCAAACAATATTATCATAACTAGACATGAAATTTGATATATATTAAAAAAATTATTTATCCTAAACAATAAATATGAAATGAGTAGTATTCATATGTTTAAATTAAATTCGTAAAAATAAATACATATCCGGTTGTGAGGGTAATGCATTTAATTCTAATTTCTAACCACAAAAACTCCATAGCCAAGGGAGAATATCCTCTAATTCATGATTAATGATTTACTTCACAACAAAGACAAAGTCCCACAAATGTAAGAACTAATATAATTTTTTGATAATATTTTGAACTTTAATATATGATTTTATTTTATAAGATAATTGATTAAATAACCTCATCAAGCAGTTTAATTTCGTGAAGTTTTGAATTCTTCCAATAAGTCCCACAAATGTAAGAACTAATATAATTTTTTATAATATTTTGAACTTTAATATATGATTTTATTTTATAAGATAATTGATTAAATAACCTCATCAAACAGTTTAATTTCGTGAAGTTTTGAATTCTTCCAATATTTTTTTATGATTTAAATATATTTTCAGCTTACGTAAAATTGATATTTTTTATTTTTGATTTCTGTAAAAATTTCTTCTTTTATATATCTTTTAAATTTTGAAAAAATTATTTTAATATCTAATATTATATGACAGTAATTAATTATTTATATATTGAAGAAATTTTCAATTGACAATTCCAAATAATATAAAGATTTTTTTATTGTCAAAACATTTATTATATAATAAAAATATTTTTTATATGAATACGTAGGGTTATAATGAAAATACTTTTTTATTAATTACCTTATTATTAGGTTATAATCAATATTAAATAAATATAAATTATTATTTAAAACATCTTATTAAAATACCTATAAATAAAATTACTTTATTATAGACAAATATTATGATTCTAGTATAAAAACTTTTTAATTATTACTATTATCCTTTTAGATTTAAAAGTGATATTTGCTTGAGCTTATTTATTATTATAAATTTTTTGTTAGAATATTTGAGCTTATTTGTAAATATTTTGTTAGAACATTTGACTCCCACCCTAGTATAGGGAAATTTCCTAATGGGACTTTGAATTTTTAAATCATCCTATCAATTTTCTAAAAATAAAGAAATAATAGTTATTATTGAAAAATAAATATATATTCCAATTTATATTTTTAAGTTAATTGTAATTTGATAATAATTATTTATATCTTAAATCATTTGAAACCTGTAACAAAAGGAAATGAAATTTCTTTCATGTAGAAAGAAAATAATTCTGTCTTTTATTCAATTTAAAGAAATTTTTAATACTTTTTCAAAAGTATATTAATTATAATGGAAAAAGTAAGATACAAATGTCAAAATTGAATAAAGAGATTTTTCACCGTCAAACAAAGTAAAAATATATGTGTGCTAATTACAATTATGAATGACCATGATAAGATTAGATTGATAATATTTATATATAGAGATATATTCTTGATAGTGTATCAACAAATAATATAATATTTGATCCTAGAAACGTCATCTAAATTAAAAATACTTACACAATAATGTTATTATTGTACATAATATGCAATGAGACACATAAATATAAGATATCTTAACTTTCAATTTTATCAAGGTACATATTTCTCACTCTCAAGATAAATGTTATTGATTTTATTATTATTATTATTATTTCATTAGGCATGAAAACTATAATTACATGATTCATAAATATCATTAATT